GGGAACAGGCAGCCTGCAGCCGGTACCGCGCCCGGTGCCGCCCCACCCCGCAGCTCCCCGTTACAGGCCCCTCCCCCCTTACCTGCACCAGCACCTTCACGTACATGAGGGGCTGCGAGAGCACGGTCAGCCCCGAGCCCAGCAGCACCTGCGAGGCCGCGTCCGCCATGGTGCCGCCCCGGCGTCACGGCCCAGAAGGACACCGACACCGCCGCCGCTTCCGCCGGTACTTCCGGCGCGCCCTCAGGCCACTTCCGGCCAGGAGGGTGTGTCCCCGCGGGGTCGCCGCAGCGACGAAGGGGCTGGGGGGTGTGTGGGGGGAGAGTGTCCGTCACGGTGGTGACGAGGCCTGAGGCGTCACCATGGCAACGGGGCCTGGAGCACCCGTGGGGCCTGAGGCCTCTCTGCAGCCTGCAGGCCCGAGGTGATGTCATGGCGACAGGGCCTGACATAACACCATGGTGAGGGAGCCTGCAGGGCCTGAGGCACCGCCGTGGCGGCAGGGCCTGGGTGGCGGCAGGCTGTAGGGCTGTGGGCAACAGGGAAGCCCCTGGGTGGGGACAGCACAATGAAAACAGGCGTCACCACGCAGAGGCTTGGCCACAGCACCACCTTTAATCTCGAGCACAGGCGCAGCAGCGTGCAGCAGTGGCGGAAGGCCAGGCCCTGCCGGGGCCGGTGAGGGGGGGCCGGGCCTTGTGGCCGCGGGCAGCAGCTGCCTGCCCTCCCTTCTGCTTGCGCTGCTGCTGCAACAGCCCCATTTCAGCTCCCGGGGCTGTATCCTGTGAGGAGGCACCGGTGACATGGGGATGGTGGGTGCTCAGCAGTGGCCGGCAGCGTGATGCTGCACTTGTGCCACTGTCTGGCTGAGATACCACCATGGTGGTGTGGTGGCCATCTCCCTCTCGTGCTGCACAGGGAAAGGTCACACCAGAGCCAGCTCCAGGCTTCTCTCCTGCTGCGCTGCTTCCCCTCGGGGTGCCAGGGACAGGTGGCTTAAGGGTCACAGAAGAGGGGTTATACCTGCTGGGACAGCACTGGAGACAAGTGTCCCTGCAGGACTGTCCCCTCTGAGACAGGGTGGACCGTGCTGGTGGGCCCAGGCTTACCGGGACACGGGCACGGCTCTTGCAGGGAGTGTTTGTCTGGCGCAGGGTGTTTCTCACTCTCCGGCTCCGCAGCCGCTTCCTCCTCCATTGCTCCAGCTGTGCCGGATGGCAAAACGGTGCCAGGGTGTCTGCACCTCTGACACCTCGCACCTCCCTGGAGCTTCGTCCCTTTTGTCCCAAAAGTGGCGGCACCCAGGGACTCACCGGCTGGGCCGGGCCGCAGATGGGAGCCGGGGGCCCATCAGATACAGAGCTGTCTGAGCCACTGGTGCTGTGTGGAGGAGACAACCACCTGCAGCCCCCACTGGTGCTTGCAGGGTCAGTGGGACAGCGTGGCTGGGCCGTACCTGGACTCAAGCTCTGAAGGGGAGATGTCGCTCCAGCTGCCGCCAGATCCCGGCTCCCGGCCCAGCCGCTGCCGCAGCAGCGCGTCCACCTCCACCAGGCACTGCTGGAACTGCGGGATGGAGCCAGCGTCACCGCAGCCTCCCTACAGCACCAGGACTGGCCTGGGTGCTGCGGTTCCAGGCTGCCAGCCCACCTTGGCTGGATCGGGGTCGCAGAAGTCGAGCAGGGTGTCACAGAGGTGGTAGCCTAGCGCCTTGAGATCTTCCACAGTGAAGTGTGAGTTCCTCCCACCTGGAGGGGACAAGGGACAACGAAACAAGGGGCAGCTTCCTAACGCGGGAACCGCCCGCCCACCAGCACCCCCGACACCAGCATCCCTGGCCAGTGGCAGTGCCTCACCCAGCGTGGAGCCTCCAAAAGCTGCCTCCAGTGTGTAGCTGTTGGAGACACCCATGCGCCACATGACGACCCTGCCCGTCCCCGCTTTGCTCTTCTGCACTTTAAACTTGCAGCTGGGGAAGGAGAACTGGGGCCGGCCCTGGGTCAGCACATCCCCCCACCAGGACATCCCGCATCGCTATCCAGTGTCACCGTGAAGCGTGGCGAGGACACCGTTCCCCAGCTCCGAGCGTCCCACCTTGTCGGGGGCGTTTTTGCTCAGCATCAGGGGGAAGATGCGCTGGTGCAGCCGCAGACCAGCCTGGCCACCATCACAGCCGTACATGAAGATGTTGTTCTTCCGGCTGTGCCCATGGAAGTCGCAGTACAGCACCACCTCCCGCTCAGCCAGCATCCTGTGTGCATCAGGATAAGGCCACTGGCACCACCGTGGGAGTGGCACTGTCCTGCCAGCTCCCCGTCACCCCCCGCCACCTCACCTCTCAACCATGGCCCGCAGGTGCCACACGCCGGGGAAGGAGCTGCGGAGCGCTGTGCCATAAGCCCTGTTGGGGTCACGGCCCGCCAAGGAGCAGCGGGAGTTGCCCACCACCACCCCATCGGGGTTGAGCATGGGTACCACCTTGAAGACAAAGAGCTGGCGCAGGAGCCGGGCGTCAGGGTGGGTGCTGAGGAGGAAATCGAGGAAACCCCGCATAGCCCAGGAGCCGCCGCTCTCCCCGGGGTGCACACGGGCGCTCAGCACCACCACCCGCTTGGTCGCCGCCACGCCGGCCGGACTGGTGATGGTCAGCAAGTAGATGGTGTTGCCGGCCAAGCTGCGGCACAGTGCTCGCACCTCACAGTACCGTGAGCGTGCCGGGTCGCCCGCCAGCGCCTGCAGGTAGCGCTGCAGGTCGGAGTAGGTGTAGGGGTAGGAGTGAGCAAAGAAGCAGGTATCGCCGTCGTGGGGGAAACGTGTCGTCCAGGAAAGGCAGAAGGCAGCCGGTTCCTCCCCACCGCCACCACCCTGGTAGTAGTGGATGTTGGTGCCGACACGGCGCCAGCCAACACCGCAACTCTGGGCGTCCTGCTGGGAGTAGAGCAGTGGGCGCATACCCTCGCCATAGAGGCTCTTGGGCTTCGCCAGGTTGGTGATGGTGAAGCGGTAGAGAGGTTCTCGCCGGGTGTTTTGGATGCGGAAATAAAACCACTGGGTGTGCTTGGCGGTGTACAGGTCTGGCCGCAGCGTCAGCACGTACTCGTAGGGGCCCCTGCACAGTGGGACATGCCACGCTCCGGCTCCTGGCCTCCCTCACTGCTGCCCCCCTGCCTTGTCCCCCCCTCCCTGGCCCCTTTCTTACACCTTGACAGCTTTTTGGAGATTGCCGCTCTCAAAGCGTGATTCGAAGAGCAGTGTCGTGTCCTGGGGACCCTCCAAGGGGGCTGCTGGTGAGGAGAGGGGCCCTGGGGCCCCCCCAACCCGAGCACGGGTGAAGCAGGAGCCTCGGGGCGCTGCAGGGGGAAGCCCAGAGGGACGGCGATGGGGTTCTGGGAGGCCGAGGGGGCACCCAGGGGTGCTGCCCGCTCCCTGCTACCTGGGTGAAGGTGGTAGACGACGGTGCCCAGCTCCTCGCTGAGGGGGGCCGGGGCTTGCTCAGGACCCATGGGCTGGCAGAAGGGCTCTGGTTCTGGGGGAACCCACTCTATGCAGGGGAGGAACAAATGGGTGCTATGGGCAGGGTGGGAGGCTGGCGCAGGGGGCAGACGGGGGGCCAGCCGGAGCGCTCCCTCACCGATGTGCTCCATCGTCTCCTTGATGACCTCACACTCGATGGGCCAGCGGGGAGCAGGTGGGGGGCCCCGTGCCGAGGGGAGGGCGAAGAGACCCCGTGGCTCCCCTGGGGACCCGAGGTGCCGTGCCAAGGAGGCCGGTGTGCGCTGGCGGGGGGCTGGGTCCAGCCCCCCAGCAAGACTGGGAGGGGCTGCGGGGGGGTTCGGGTGCACTCCTGCCTCCAACCGAGATGCAGGAGAGGTCAAGCTGGGGTGGGGACACCCCCCAAAAGCACCCACCACCCCAAAGCAGGGGGAGGCTCCCCCACCCCGTGCTTCTGGTGCTGGAGCGGGGGCTACAGGGTTTCACTCACGGCTCAACTCCTGCCCAGGACCCCACAGGCCGCTGCTGTCAGGGTGCTGCTCGGAGGGGGCCCCCGGGGCCGCAGGGGTCTTCTGTCCCCTAATCTTCTGGCCTTGGGGAGAGCAGTGCTGCAGCCCAGAGGGGCCAGGGGGGCACTGGGGTGTGCCACGTCCCTGTAGCCAGGGCTCACCTTGGAAATAGCCGTAATAGCGCAGGTGGCTGCGCATGAAGCTGTCGTAGGGCTCGGGGAGCAGCCCCCCATCAAAGCCCCCCAGCCCCCGCTCCCCAAGGTGGGCAGGGGGGTGCGCCGAGGGCCGCATGGCCGCCAGAGGTCTGGCAGGACCCTTCTCCAGTCGCAGTCAGAGCCAGGACGCGGTTGCTGAGCAACCGGCGGGGAGGGACAGGGCGGTCCCAGAGCAGAGCTGGGAAACGAGCCAGAGGGCTTTCGCCATCCTGGCAGACACCCAGGACAGCAGGGCCACAAAGGGCCACACTGGCATCAGCCCACCAGCCCCAAACGGCCTCCTGTGGCCATGGCAGGGACTGGGAGAGCCCCCACTCAACCAGACAGCACATCCCAAACTGCTACAATTTATTGGACAATGGTCAAGTGAAGGGCTCTGAACTGTACATCTGTAAAAAAAAACCAACCAAAAAACAAAACAAAACAAAAAAAAGCGCGCAGCACGGCTCATGTGCTTGACGCGGTTTTCCTCCGCTTCAGCCGCGCTCGCCAGTCCTCCGGCAATGCCTCAAAGTTGGCGTTCCTCTCTGCCATGCCACTGCGGGGAGAAAATGGGACCTCAGGCGTGGGTCTCCCCCCCTCTCCGCCTTCGCAGGAGACAAAGGAAACATGTGCCCC